GGAGGATTTCAGGCAGTGCCATCCTCCTGGACTGCTTGTAATAAGGGAGGCGGGAAGGAAGGAGGGCCTGGCTGATGGCTGCCTAGTTGGGCAGTACCCCAGTCATGGACGAGCCCTTACTACCCCAGGGTTTGAGAAACCTGTGTTCCAGTTAAGACTGGATTGTGCAAAGAAAAACAATTTCTTCCCTGCATAGGGATGACCTCTGGAGAATCAGGCCTCACCTGCGCTATACCTTTAAATCAGTACCATACCACTGTGAACACTTTCATGGCTTCCCTAGAGAATCCTGGGTAATGTAGTTTGTTTTGGGCGCCGTGAGTTGTTAGGAGAGGCCACACACCCCCCCCCCCCCCGTTAGGGTTGTCATATTTCTAGAAGTGAGAATCTGGACACAAAAGGTTTTGTTTCGTTTTGGCCACAATTGTGGACCTGCTTTGCAAAATCTCAAAAAAAGATGTTTTTAAGCTATTTTTTCCAGAAATTTCCCCAAAATTCAACACTTCTGATACGAGCTGCCGTATGCCATTTTTGACGGACAAATCCCAGCTACGTCTGCGAAATTCTGGACATATGGCAGCCGTACCCCGTCCCCTCAGAGCAACAACTCTCAGAGGGGTTTAACAGTTCTGCCCTTTCCCCAGGGAGCTGGGAATTGTAGCTCTGTGAGGGGAACGGGGGGGGGGGTTTCTAGCAACACACAGCTCCCTTAAGAAACTACAGGGTTATTTGGGGGACAGATTAAATTCACATGATACAGCTCTAAATGTACGACACAGATGGGGCCTAAATATGTCTGACCTGCTTTTTAACCTCGAAGCACTGGTCCCTTCCTCTCACAAGCAAGGAGGCAGGCTACAGCTACGCAGTCGCATGAGGAAAGCTTTCTGCACAACCTCAGAGAAACATGCCGTTCCCTTTTTTCCTTTCCTTCCTTCCAGGGCTGAGTCTGAGCACAGGAAATAGGTTCCCCTAGCTGCAGGAGCAGGATAATAACTATTTCACTTACAGCTAGGAGTTAAAGCACAAAGGCAGAAGGGTTATTTTCCTGTGCAGAGGATATTAGAATTGAAGAGGGGGAGAGTGGAGTGCTTTTGAATGGCATAACACAGACTCCTTATCCCTGCGATGCTTACCAGTTTCCAAGGGCAGCATAGTGTATGTGGGGGGAGTATTTGTGGAATTGCAAGCTTTCGGGGGAAGCATTTGCGAAATTGCATGCATTTGTGGAATCTGGGCTCCGTGGAAGGCATTGTATGGAGACCAGGCAGGGCTCGTGGGGAATTTAGAGAGAAGTGTCGTGGGAGACTGTAAATTACAATGTGACCTTACTGCAGCAGCACTTGGTACAGGTAGCACATTGCAACAAATGTGAAGTGCATTCATTGAGAGGGAGAGATGGTGTTTGACATCAGCAGCAAATTTCAAAACATTGTAGTTGTGGTGGGGCCGACCAAAAAGGTTGAATTTCCCTGAATAGACTGCTTTCAGGCTGAGGAATGCCCATACTGATCAGCACTGAGCACCCACTCTAGCAATTACAATCTAGGCAGAATGTACAAGTCAGGAATAGTCCGCAGCAGAAAAGCTGGGTGCCTTTTTGGTGAGCAATGTGCCCTTGCTGAGAATCTGAAATGAAATCAGCCACAAGCAATTCTTTAAGGATCAAACGCAGTTGGAATTTTAAAAAAAACTGACTTTGAGACGCATACCCTTGATCTCTTATCGTCCTCTCAAGGCTCATGAAAAATTGACTAGGTGAAGAATCATCACAGTACAGGGAAGCTAACCAGTGTCACGCAGCTAGGAAGTGAGGCTTTCCCTCCTCTGAAAATGTATTAAGCCCCTCTGCCTTCTGTCCCTGGGTTTGGCTACATAGAATTAACTTCTGCTGACATTGCGAAGCAATAATTGCAAATATGTTTGTTAAAAGCTTGCAGCCACATCAAGGACAACTAGACCGCACGTCTGCATAATTTGCAGCCGCAGCTCTGATGTGGCAGGAAACGTCAAGGTAAATCTCATACATCTTAAATCGAATGCAGAATGGCACAGGGCAAACTAGTGCCAACATTGTTCTGGATAACCTGCACGGCGCCACAGAGCAGCCATACTGGCCTGCAGTGCAGAGCCTGGGGCATGCTGCAGGGAAGATGGATCAGATGATAGAGCTGTAGAGTTGGAAGGAACCCCGAGGAGGGTCATCTAGTCCAACCCCCTGCTGTGCAGGAATCTCAACTAGATCGCACATGACAGATGACGATTCAACCTCTGCTTAAAAAAACCCAAGGAAGGGAGAGTGCACCACCTCTCGTGGGAACCTGTTCCACTGTCAAACAGCTCTTACAGTCAGAAAGTTCTTTGTGACTTTGTCAGAATCTCCCTTCTTGTAACTGAATCCATTGGTTTGGGTCCTAGCCTCTGGAGCAGGAGAAAATAAGCTTGTTCCAACCTCCCAGGCGACAGCCCTTTAGTTTGAAGACGGCTACCGTATCTCCTCCGAGTCTACCAGACTAAACATACCACATTCCCTCAACCATTCCTCATAAGGTTTGCGCTCTCACACTGGTTTCCAGATGCACACAGCAGAGCTGCCAGTGTAAAATTATTCTGCAGATCTGCGTCTGCACAACTGCAGAGTTCTGGTTATGAAAAGCTGCAACCCTTAAGATAGCATGTAACATGGGCCATAGTTAGAAATATATGTCTGTAGTGAATGGGCTTTGGTAACAGCTCAAAGCTTTCTAAAGAATGGAATAGGAATGTAATCGACCAAATATCTGCTCCCAATAATAGCACTCAGTAGTGTACCGTGTGATTTGCATGTCCAGGGCCCCAACTTAAATTTATCAACTCTCCAGTTACAGAATTGCAGGCAACTAAAGTTTGGAAAGGCCCCTTCAGCAAAGACCTTGAAATGTTGTCAGTCATAGTGGCCAATGCTTGGCTACTTGGATCAGTGATCTGATTTCATGTAAGCAGACCCGCATATAATTATTACATCACATATAAAAACTATTTGCTTTGTTTGCATGTAATGGTAAACAATGGTTAAAGACTTACTGGGATTAAGACTGCCCGATCCTAATAAATCATAGTTTATTGTTTGGTGGAACATTGCATAAATGAAGGGTTCATATAAAGGATGTTATTGGGTGGAGGGGAACCTCCTATTTAAAGGATGTTATTGGGTGGAGGGGAACCTCCTATTCAATACTACTGCTCATTTTGATACCTGCCCTACCCCCAGAAGAGAAAAATAACAATGCTCAATTCTAAGAGATATTTCAGCTTTTGCAGTCACTAGGTTTTGCTCTGGAAGGGTGGGATGTGTTGTTAAGAAGCAGCAATTACCAGTAGTTGATAACAGCATTGAAAAATTGTACTTGGCTTGATGTTCAAGGTATTTCCCCCTTCTGGGTGAGACCTGAGATTTACTGCACCTCGGCAATCCATTGAAAAGCAAAACTGAGATCTCACTAGGTGGAAGCACATTCAGAAAACACACTCCCCATGTGAAAATGATGTCGAAGAGCCCCACTGTGCTGCCACAGCAGTTGCCTTAGCGGGAGACTGTTGGCATTTTGACAGCAGACGCTTCCAATTTTTCCTCAAAAAAATGATTGCCACCATTGACTATAATGAGCAAGTCAACTCCTCCTTGAATACGGCTTGCTTGCGACAGGGCAGTGTCCAGCACAGAAAATAAACACCCGGCCCTTAGTGGGGGGAAACACTGCCTATTTGTTGTGCTTTTCCATTCTTCCCAACCCCCCTTTTCCCTCCACATTATTTTGCTGTAGTCCTATATCTAGATATTATTATTTTTTTGTATTTATGCACCTGTTCTAAAGGAGCTGGCAGGTGCCTTCCCACACTCTAAAGGAGTGACTCTATAATTACGAAGTGCCAAATAGGGATCTTCTCCCACTGCACATTTTTAAAGCAAACAACTGTTCTCACCATACATCAACCTAATGTTCTGACATTTGTACAACTCAGGTTTGATGTCACGTAAGAAAGCAACAATACTATTGCAAAGATCAGTCACCCCTCCCCATTTATTTATTTATTTGTATGAACCACAGCCCGTATGTGGTCACAGACTGTGGCTGCTCTTTACGTCTCATGATTCATTTGTTGGAGTGGGAAACCTGGGAGTGGGGCCCATTTTATGCGCACCCCAGCCCAATTTCAAAAAGTCTTCTGTAAGGGATTAGTTCCGACCTCTGGCAAGAACTGTTCGGCAGCCCACTGGGCAGAGGGAGAGAAAGGAGATAGAAAAGGGTGGCAAGGAGAGAGGGCAAAAGAGGGTGACATTGCCCAGTCTTGGCTCTGGCCCTGCCCACTGCCAATGTTGCAGAACTACAACTCTTAATCAACCCTAGCAAGCAGGGCCAATGGCCAGGAATGGTGCAAGCTGTAGTTCAGAAACATTCAGAGGACCAAAGGTTCCCTGCTCCTGCCTCAACCCACAGCAGAAAAAAAGGTTGCTCATCTGTATTTTGGATTGTCTCAGGGCAGCTTGAGGCTAAAGATCAGAGGAAGTGAATGAGCGAGACGCAAAGTGGCAAAACGTCAAGCCAAGTCTTTTAACGCAGATGAAATAAAGCAGCCTGAAAGAGGTTTAGACTCAAGAGGTTTACTATTCTCCAGGGCAAAGTTCTTCTATAATGGGGGAAAGCCACCATCAATTCCCTACTTACACACCTTTGGCAGACAGCACAGTCCAGAAGAAGAACCACACTCAGAAAGGCTCCGGTGTATCAGTGGGACATCGTGGGAAAATATGGATGTGAGGCGTTTGACAATTGTTTCTGCTGCTCCCTTCTAGTGAGACTACCTCTGGGAAAATACAAGCACAATCTATTACCACTGAGATGATCCCATTCTGCCGGGATGAATCTGCGACTTCCAGCTTCATTTAAAAGGGGTAGCGGGTTGTTCATGTGATGCCAACTGGTTCTACCCTCTGGGAACCCCCCGCGACTTCTGACACATTTCACACACAACTCACCAGCTCTTTTATTGCCTTCAACTGTGGCCATGTTACAGCTTCCAGAATATGACACCTATGGCTAGACTACACCGATAAACAAGAGACGAGACAGTCGTGTGAAATCCGACTCCTGGCAGGAAGAAGCTGGGCACCCAAATGTTACTTCCAACAGGTCTCCCCCCCTTCCTTTTTCTTTTGCCACGTGGGATGAATGAGGAAGACGTAGCAAGTCTTTTGTTGATAGCTGTGCTGGCGGTTGGCATGGAGGAAGGATGCAACAGGGCCAGTTGGTGTGACTGTCTGCGTGGCTCTGTGGATACCAGGGAAGGGCTGTGGCTTTGCATGCAGAATATCCCAGGTTCAGTCTCTGGTTAGGGCTAGGGAAAACCCTGGTCTGAAGCTTTGAGGTGCTGCTGTCAATAGGTGCCAATCCTCGTCTGCAATAGACCAACAGTCTGATGGTGTATATTCTTGTATTGCAGTAAGTCTAGGTAAAGAACCAGTCTAATGCCAAGTTCTTAAGAAGCTCGAAAATAAGGAACTATAATGAGCTGCCGTTGACCCGTTAAGGGGGGGAAAAGTCCTGCCATCTTCGTGATCTATTCAGCATTTGCCACGCGCCCACACACTTTTGAGGGGCACTTCTCTGCTCCTCCCGCCATCGGGTGCTGATGAGCCAGAGGATTCTGGGCCTATTCTAAGGGAGAGTGTGGGAGAGAACTGACTGCCTGGCAGCTGACCATATGCTCCTCAAGCATTTCTGGGAAGCAGCAAGGAGCAGAATTGTAGCTGGTAGACTGAGGGCTTTCTTCTCCTTCCCTTCTGACAACCTTCAACGTAACAGCGGCAGGGAAATGATCTCTTGTGAGTGGCTGGGCAGGCGTGTGCCTGTATCTTGGGCAGTGCTGCAACTTTCGTTAATGCCTGACAGAAGTAAGTCCAGTGGGACTTGCACGCAGCTCAACTCCCCTAGTACACAAATAGCACCCTTGGACAGCCCTTTCACTGCCTGCTCCATAAAGGCCAATCCCAAGCCTTGGCACCTTCCATTTGGCATACTGTCTCCCCCACCAGGGGCATGTTCCCCCAGAGGCACAGTATGAAAGGGCTGGGTCCAACTCTGCTGTTGATGTATGCCTAGGTCCTCTTTCCAGACCATGTTACTTAGATGATACCAACTGCAAGGAGGGCAGGGGCCAGAGCTTGGTGCCAGAGCACCTGCTCTGCATGCAGAAAATGCCCAGTTCTAATCCTGATGTATCTTCCAGTGTGGCTGGGAATATCCCCTGCCTGAGACCCTGGAGAATGACTGCCAGTCAGACAGACAATACTGAGCTAGATGGAACCCAATGGTGTGGGCTTGGTATAAGGCAGCTTTTGATGTCTGGCCCCTTTTTAAACGAGACATCCGGGGTCGCTTGGGGCATGTCTACACCTATAGTCCCTGTTCCTCTGATTGGAGCGGTCCATTTCTCCCTCCCCTTTCCCCCCGCAAAAACTGTTGCCGTTTGGTACTGCAGTGAACCTTCAAATCCAGAACTGCAGCTGCACTTAGCATCTGATGCTGGGAGTCAGTGGCCACCAGCAATGGCAGAGGCAAGGAAATCAGCGCCTGCAGTACTGAAGCCTTAAAAAAACCCAAAAAAACCAAGTAGGTTGTTGGGAAACTGGTCCCAATATGGAAGTGGTGTGTGGGCGCAGAGCCTAACATAACCCTTTGCAGAAAGGTATGTTTGCCAGGCTCCAGCTATTGGACTGGGAGATCTACAACTGCACATAAACCCACCCCCAAAGCATAGCATGTTCTGGAGACGGCATGGCCTGGGATGATGCAACAGAACAGCGTGTCACTTGCCTAATCTAAGGGGTTCTGGAAAGAAAAGCACAGCAAAACAGTGGGGCCGAGAGCTGCGCGAGGCTCACCCCTTCCCCAAACCCGCATCTTCCCCGCAGCCACAAAATGCTTTCTTAGACCTCTTCCTCCACTTCCCGGACTTAGCCAGCAATAAAGAGAAATATGTGTTAGCTGATTATGCCCCTGGGGAAGCTCACTCGCTCACTGCCATGTGGGCTCAACGACCCTATATGCAGGGGACCTCACCCGAGTGGATGTCTTTAGCACAACTCTTGGCACCGATATAAACATTAAATAGGAGTAGTAGTAGTGATCATCATATTGGGTCTGTGTGGTGAATTGGCCGGTGCCGTGGGTGGGAAGGCTCGAGCCTTTGTCTTTTACCTCAGACAGTCAGTTGGTTTCAGCGCTGGCAACGGGAAGGCCTTGCACTCTGGGCGCAGGGCCTTTTGTGAGGGATCAGTATCGCACCCTACCCAGAAACCCTTGGGGTTTCGGCAAGGCGCTGATGGCTAACCCTCGATGTTTCATTAAGACATCGGCTCACCCCCACTTCTCTCATTCGGTGGCTTCGGGCGGAGGGGTTAGCACCGGTGTTGTAGTTTCTGGCGGCCTCTGTGCCTCCCTCCCCTTTCAGTGTTTGGCACTCGCCGCTCACCAGCTTGGGCGAGGCGGAAGATTCGTACGCCCACCCCCAAACTCTGCTGAACCTCCATTTTGAGGGCTCGGCCCCCTACGCCTCACTCCTTAGCAGCCTCAGTCAGGCAGCGCTCGGCTCCGTCACTACTCCGCAGCCGGCCCTTGCAGCTTTTGCGGGGCGGCTCCACCCAGGAGTTGTGGATGACGGTGCCGCCGGGCGCGGGGTCCACCTGCAGGGCCGACACCACTCGCTTCTTCAGCTTGCTGTGCAGCACGTTCCGCAGCTTCTGGCGGGTGAAGGCGTAGAGGAGCGGGTGGAAGATGGTAGTGCCGTAGGCCATGGCCAGGAAGCAGACGCGCAGCTTGCCCATCAGGGGGCTGGGCCCCAGGCACAGGATCAGCAGGTTGGCGACAGACAGCGGCGCCCAGCACAACAGGAAGGTGGAGATGATGAGCAGGGACATGCGGAAAACCCGCCGCTGGCGCTTCCTCCGGTCACGGTGGCGCTTCACCGCTCGCCGCAGGGCGATGATCACAGAGACCGAGGCTTGCACCCCCATGGGCGGTGGCGTTGGCAGCGCCGGCACGGGCTGAGAGAGCCGCTTGGCTTCTGCTCCGCCGGCCGCCACGCTGACGCTTGGCTCTGCCGATTTCCGCCGCTTCCTCTTCTTGGTCTTGTGGCGTTGGCTGCGCTTGAAGGTGCTGCCGATGCTGATGTTGAGGGCCTGCAGGATCTTGGCGTAGGTCACCAGCATGACGGCCACGGCGGCAAAGAACGTGGGGATCTGGATAGCCAGGTGGTAGGAGGTGCCGAGTTCGGCGTGGAACTCCTCGGGCCCGACGCAGAGCACGGTGCGGTTCTGCCACGTGCTGGCATGGCCCAGCTCGCCCTCGAGGAAGGGTATGAAGAAGACCGCCAGGGACAGCACCCAGACGCCGGCCAGGAGAAGGATGGCGCGGCCAGGGGTCAGCACGCGCTGCGCCGGCCGCACCGAGATGTCGTAGCGGTCCAGGCTGATCACCAGCACGTTGGTGGCCGTGGCCACGCTGCTGAAGGTGATGCACGCCTCGTGGAAGCAGCAGAGCAGTGTGGCGGCCCGGTCGGGGGGCACCAGGACCACCACCATGGTAAGCGGGGCGCACACCACGCATATGAGCACGTCCAGCACGTGCAAGTTCATGGTCACCATGTTGCTGACAGAGTCCACCAGGCCAGCCTGCAGACAATACAGCACCAATACGGTCAAGTTGCTGCTGACGCCCAGTACGATTTCCAACATGAGGAAGCCCGTCAGTGAGACCTGGAAGCCCAGCGGGTAGGGCAGTGCCCAGCTGGGGTCAGGGGTCACCCCGTCCGTCGTCTCCAGGATAGTGTCGAACATGGGAGTCTCCATGGCTGAGAGGGCATGGAGGTGTGGGCATAGTCCGTGGAATGAATGGGCTTGGGGTTGCAGGCAGCTCCCTCACCTGTGGGGAGAGAGAGGTACCATCAAGTATCATCAAAGCAGCAAGACGAACCTTTGCATTGACAGCAGCAGCCTGGGACAGTGTTCACACCTGAGGAATCTTCCTCACATCATAAAATTTGCCATTGGCATCCCATCCATCACCTAGGCCAGCCTTCCCACAGCCTAGTGGGCTATGGAAGGCTGCAGTTCACTGAGGAGGATGAGAATTGTAGTCCAAAAATATCTGGAGGGCACCCAGTTTCGGAAGCCTGGCCTAGGTGATGGAAAGGTGTGTGGGGGGGTAATGAAATAGGCACCCTAGCTTAACCCCAATAGGCAGAATGGGTTATGTTTTGCTCCCCCCTCCCCAAAGCAACAACAGGGACATCTTACCACAAGGTGAAAGATCTCTGCACCACCACCATGGAGTGAAACAGATATGCAATCTGTGCATTAACTTCACTGGAAATTTCATGCCAAGCAGTAATCGCTGGCATCCCCCCCCTTCCCCCCTTTAATGGATGAGGTTTCCCTGTCAGTCAAGCTCACTATCCAAGTAAGGAACAGTTAAGAGAGCATTGATAAGAGATGCAGAGCCATTGTGTATTCCCCTCACCCCTGAGCAGCTGAAGTTTTCAAAAGCGCTTATCTGTGCATGTATTCTAACACATACTCTGTGATCACGAGAGCAAAGATTTTCAGGAATTGAAACCCACCATAATAAACCCCGAAGGGGTACTTGGAAGCAGGCATGAAAGACAGAAAAGACAGTCGCCTGCAGGAAAACGAGTGGATTTGTGGATTCAGAGACATTGAACGGCGCAGGGAGGAAACTGTCCGCTATGGGATTCTAGCAGTGACTGAACTTAACATGGGTAAACTGCAAGCCCCCTCCCTTCCAAGCCCCCACAAATCAGGAAAGCATTAGCACAGGTGGAGAAGACTTCAGACTCTGCTTTCCCAAGAGCTAAATAACTAATCTGCCTCCTGGCCAAACTACACATTTTTGGGTATGTAACCCCCAACTGCTGTTCCTTCCAAGGCAGAGGAATGGGCAATTTTCAGTGGTAAAGTGAAGGAGGAAGGCTGTGTTTAATCCTTCCCAACCTGCTGGTTTTCCTCTATAAACCGCCCCCCTTCACTTGCTCCAACTCTGGAAGCCAGATGTGTTTGCCTCTGCAAACAGAAGTCAAGAATATCTTATGATGGAGAAAAGCTGCTCACAGCAGAAAAATTGGTGAGAGAAGGGTTAAGCACCCTCTGCCTGCCACTTATTTGCTGAAAACCACCTCCCTCTGAAGCTGCTTTTTCCTAGAAGGGTTAATATACGTATGTTTGCTGCTACTGTGTTTAGCCCCTAGAAAACACAAGGAAAAATAAAAGAAAGAGAAACTGCTGGATAAACTACCTATACGATGTTACTCAGGGGGGAAAAGATCCACTTCCAGTATGAAAAACACAAAACCTGGACACAAACGGATTCATATTTTATTGTAACATATTGTGTGACTATCGACCGGTGCCGTTCCAGAAGGGGGAGGAAAACGAAAAGCACAACACAAGGCAAAAATTAGCACAAACTGAGGGAGATGCCAACCAACACCAGCTCCTTCTGGCAGTTTAGAGTGAGCCAGAGCCAAATTATCCCAATCAAAATTCAGCAACTGAGAAAGAAGACTGCGGGGTTTTAATGCCATGTGAGCCTCCATGTAGGTCTTGGACAAAGAGGTAGGGTGAAGAAATACATGCAGAGGATAAACAAATACATATTTCTCCAAGAAGTCGTAACAGGCTAGAGAAGTTTGTATGTAAGAGCGTGCCTTTTCTTTGTTTGATATGCCTCAGTCACACATCTCTAAAATCAACTAGATATGACATTTTGATAGCAAAAAGCTCATGGAGTTGGATGGCACTGGGTGATGTCTCAAATAAGTTGTACTTGGAAATTAATGGGCCTAACTTAGTCAAGTTCATTAATTTCAGTGGGTCTACTCCACCATCATTTTTTAATTTTGTGATAAGGTAAAGGTAAAGGTACCCCTGCCCGTACGGGCCAGTCTTGCCAGACTCTAGGGTTGTGCGCCCATCTCACTCAAGAGGCCGGGGGCCAGCGCTGTCCAGAGACACTTCCGGGTCACGTGGCCAGCGTGACATCGCTGCTCTGGCGAGCCAGAGCCGCACACGGAAACGCCGTTTACCTTCCCGCTTGTAAGCGGTCCCTATTTATCTACTTGCACCCGGGGGTGCTTTCGAACTGCTAGGTTGGCAGGCGCTGGGACCGAGCAACGGGAGCGCACCCCGCTGCGGGGATTCGAACCGCCGACCTTTCGATCGGCAAGCCCTAGGCGCTGAGGCTTTTACCCACAGCGCCACCCGCGTCCCTAATTTTGTGATATTATTAATTAATTAATTAAATTTATATACCGCCCTATACTCGGGGGTCTCAGGGCGGTTCACAGAATAAAATCAAGATATAAAACCACAAAATACATAACAAAAATAGAAACAACAATCCAATAGCGCCCCCCCTGCCAAAACCACATTTTAAAAGGGCATAGGATGTAAATCAGATCAACCTGGTTCAAAAGGAATGTTTTTGCTTGGCGCCTAAAGGTGTATAATGAAGGCGCCAGGTGAACTTCCATAGGGAGAGCATTCACAGATGGGGAGCCACTGCAGAGAAGGCCCTGTTCTCGTGTTGCCACCCTCTGGACCTCAGGATCTGGGTAAGTTCATATGGAAAGAGGCGATCCTTGAGGTATTGCGGTCCTGAGCTGCTTCATGCCTGCTTCCAAGTACCCCTTCAGGGTTTATTTTACTATTTCTATTGCACCTGTGGCACTTATTTTAGGCTCTTAATAATTGTGGATTGTGGAATATTCCTGTGGAGGTTTTTTTGTTGTTATTGTTTTTATGTTGCTTAATCTAGCCTTAACATAACCTGCTGTTTGAAATGCAGACAGGTTTGGTGTGTGTGTGCAAAGTGAGTAGAAATACGCCTGTGAAAGCATATAATGAACGCACTTGCATTTTAGGCTGCGTATAATGGTTGCATAATCTGTGGTGAACCACCCTGCAATTGATTTGTGTGCAAAGGGAGGCCTTGAAATATTGTAAATAATAAATAATAGCAGCCCTGTGATCCCATGTCTGAGCTGAAGCATGGTTTCCTTGGATGAATCTCGGCTGGAACAGACTGGTTATCCAAGAGCAGAGAAGACTTCACCTGAGGGAACCTTGGCATTGCACACATTTGCTGCAATGGTAGCAGCAGCAGCAGCAGCAGCAGCAGCAGCAGCAGCAGCTCCCCCTCCTCAAAGTCTAATCTGGAATCTGTTAATCACATTTTAATTCACAACAGCTAAACGTATTTCTCGTCTGTAAAGAATGTAACCGACTGCATCTATATGATATAGTTGCTTACCAACAAATGTGTACAAAACACACACACACAACTGCTTGCTTCACCAATTTTAAGCCTTTGGGGAAACTTTTTGGACTAAGGTTTTAAAACGTTAAGAGGAATGAGCCTCTCTCCCAAAATTACGTCCTCTGGTTTGGTCAATAAACAAACCGAAGTCCTCTTACCCTCGAAAGCAGAAATGCAGCCTTGCCTGCTTTAGAACGTAATGCTGGGGAAGTTGTCCCTCTCTCTTGACAATGCTCGGGCTCAGGATCACAAAAAACCCAATTGATAGGCAGACAAAATGGAGCGTGTCTTCTCACAGCACATAATCAATTCAGGGAATTCACTCCACAAGATGTGGCAGCCACTAGGTTAGACTTAAGACGGCTTTAAAAAGAGATAAGGCCATGCTAATTGAGGATGTGCCTATCCATGGCTATTTGCTGTGGTGGCCCTTTTGAAGCCCTCATGTGCAGAGAACGTACCGTATTTTTTGCTCTATAAGACTCACTCTTTCCCTCCTAAAAAGTAAGGGGAAATGTGTGTGCATCTTATGGAGCGAATGCAGGCTGCACAGCTATCCCAGAAGCCAGAACAGCAAGAGGGATTGCTGCTTTCACTGCGCAGTGATCCCTCTTGCTGTTCTGGCTTCTGAGATTCAGAATATTTTTTTTCTTGTTTTCCTCCTCCAAAAACTAGGTGCGTCTTGTGCACCTTATAGCGCGAAAAATACGGTATATCAGTATTTATAACAGTTGTGGGGGTGTGGGGGTGTAATTATGCCTTAATTTGACGGTCTTCTATTCATCAACATAAAAAAAATGTATTTTTGTATTTATAACAGTTGCTGTGTGTGTGTCTGTGTGGAATTATGCCTTAATTCGAAGGTCTTCTGTTCATCAACATAAAAAAAGAGAACTGTCCTAAGCTTATTATGTGTTTTCGAAGGATTGTGTTATTTTATCGATTTTATGTAAACCACCCTGTGGCTTTTACAAAGGGTGGTTTATAAATCATCTAAACAATAATAATAATACGAATAGATCGCATAAATATTGCAAAAAGATTTGCATATTAAATCATATATACATGATTAAAAAGGAGGCTGAATTAACTTGCACCCAGTGCTTTCCAGCTTATACTCATCGGCCTGCTGGCCTTTCCTCACAAACAGCTCCAGGAAAATGCCTCATATTGTGTTTCATGGCATAGTTACACCATCATCTTCCTAAGATGAACTACAGAGAAACTTCCATGTTCTGTAATACTGGCGCCATAAGATGAACTACAGAGAAACTTCCATGTTCTGTAATACTGGCACCCTACGGGTCATAAACAAAAGGCCTTTTAAAGAAGGGAGGACTTGTGAGTCTGGAACAGATCCTTAAGGTGAAAGGGGAGTCAATAGCCTCATGTCAGGGCTGAACTGCAGCTATCAGTTATATACCCTGAGAGCCCATTTTCCACTGGAAAGTCCTCTTCCTTTGCAACTCGCCTCCGACTGTTTTACTCCCAACAGTTATGGGACCCCATTAGGGAAAGAGGACAGATTCAGAGATAAACAGGTTACGCACTCTCCTCCCGTCTCACAAAGTGCCCCTTCAGAAGGCTGC